GAAAAAATAAAACAGCTATTCTGGGATATCTTCATGACAGAGTTTTCAGCAGGATCAAGAGTTGGAATAATCGTTTTCTATCAGGTCGGGTGCTGCTGCTAAAGAATGTCATCCAGGTTATGCCAACCTATGCTATGAAAGTCTTTTTGTTACCAAAAGAGTTGTGTGATGATATTGAAAAATTGATGAATGGTTTATGTTGGACGGGATTAAAACTCGATCAGAAGGGCCTGCGATGGAGGAGCTGGAACGGCTTAGGCAGGCCAAAGTAGGAGAGCTGAGATTCAAGAGGCTGAGATTCAGGGGTGGCGGGTGATTACCGAAAAAATAGTCTCATGAGTCGTGTTCTTAAAGCAAGGTATTTCCTGAACTTTAATTTTTCGAATGCTAATCTGAGTAATAACTCTTCTTTTATTTGGAGGAGTATTTTTTAGACCCAATCTGTTCTAAAAAATAACACCCGAAGAAGAGCGGGGAATGGTATTGAAGTTCAGATGTGGGCGGATGCTTGGTTACCAGGGCAGGGGGTCGGGGAAAATAACACCGGCTCATCCCCCTGGAATCTGGGATATGAATGTGGCAGCTCTACATGATATTACAGGGAAGGTGTGGAACAGAGAAAAATTCATGACGGTGTTTAATGAGGAGGATAGGAATTAAATTTTAAATATTTCTATCAAATCGCATGATATGAATGATGGCTATTAGTGGACTGGAGAAAATAGTGGATCATACTTAGTTAAAAGTTGCTACAAGATACTTATGGGAGAGCTACATGTTGGAGCTTGGAACGAGTGGAAGAATTTGTGGGAACTTCGGGTCCCATTGAAGTTCAAATACTTTGCTTGACAAGTCTTAGAGTGTATGACACTCTTCCTATGGTGGATAGTTTGAGGAAGAAAGGCGTGGATATTCAAAGCGGATGTCGACTCTGTGGTGAGGAGTCGGAGTCTTTGGACCACGCGTTGCGTTCATGCCACCAGGGTGAGGCATATTTTGGAATATTCATGAGACGACGAGCGTCTTGAATGGTACAGCTGGTATGCTAGCTAGCTGGAGGGAAGCTCAAGGCAGTATCACGAACAGGGCGAGGCAGTCCGGTGAGTCTTAGGAGAGGTGGAAAAGACCCAGGAGTGGATGTATAAAGATAAATGTGGATGGAGCAGTTAATCGGGCGGGGAGATTCAGGCTTGAGGGTGGATTGCACGGGATGAGCATGAAGAATATCAAAGCTCAGGGAGTTTAGTGTAAAGCAGGATGGTCGGCAGCGGAGACGGAGGCAGTGGGGGTAAGGGATAATATCTTAGGTGCGACCCAGGAAGGTTGGAGCAATGTGGAGATCAAAACGGATGCCCTCATTGTGGTTCATGGGCTTAAGAGAGGGGTTGATTCCTCTTACGGTCTTACCTTCATTTCATTATTCATGATATTAGGAAGATTTTGAAAACAAAGAGTAATTTTAGTACCACTTTTTGTAAAAGGTCGGCGAATCGTGCTACTCATGCTTTAGTAAGAGCACATGTTGTTATCTCAGACCAGAGGGTCAATTATGATGTTATTCCTCATTGTATAGTGAGCCAAGTGACAAATGATTTTTTTGATTTCATACGGAGTATAATTTAATGTTTTACGATAATAAAAAAAAGAACTAATAAAAGCTAATAAGTTAAAATTAGTGGTTACGATACAAATCGTAAAACATGTTATCATGCCCCAAATTTTGCACTCGAAGAATCAGACTTTGGTACGAGTCTAGGAGGTGTTAACATGTTATCGTAATAGTGCTAATGAAGGGAAGATAATAGTTTTTGTTCCAAACGAATGTGGACAGAAATAAGAATTAAAAAAGTATAAACTTACTTGAAACTTGAAATAAAACCAACTGACACATGTGATACTTTATAACTTAACACTTCTCTGAGCTTGAAGAGTGATATACTTTGAATGTTTAAAATCATGTATATACATATTCAAGTAGCATATATACAAGTAACCTACACTTCTCTGTTCTCTGTGTAACGTCCTACAGAGCTCCATGTGATAACCTACACATGTGATACAAAAAAGTGGACCTATCACAAATAAAAGTATATACATATTCAAGTAGCATATCTCATTACCACACAAAAGAATAATTTGTAATTTCATAAGTCGATGAAGAAAATAAAAATAGTAATCAAGTCCAAGATATAATTTTGTAAAATAAAGTCAAAAAATGAGGAGTAAAAACAATAGAATGAGACTAACTTAAAATCATTGTCTTTATATGATCATCAAATAACACTCAAGTCAAACTCATGATTTTCATCAAGATGGTGAATGACATATGAGAAAAGTACGTTGTGCGACTGATACACTTATTATTGTTGTAAAAGCTTATACTAAAATATGTTAGGTTTAGAAAAACCTTAATTTTGATATGATATCATCATAAATCCAATAGTAGTTCAAGTTTTGATCTTGTAGGAAGCTAGCTTTAGTCACCATGCAAATAACGTTAGTGATTAATAATTGCATTGTAACAATACAAGAACATGGGGTTACGAGGAGGAGGTTTCTTTTTTGCTTTTAAGCTATTGTTGATCTCATATGCATTTTATGCACTAATTCAATTGATCAATTCATGTTTCTAGTTTTTGTAAAATACGGAAAAAATACGTTTTATACGGGAAGTGAGAGTTTTTTTCCTTTTTAAACGGACCCACAGTATTTTTCGTTTTAAACGCGTTTTTTTGTTCAAAAAAACGGTACGTGTTTAAAACGCGTTTTAAACGGAAAAAAGCTAACTAGGCTCGGTTCTGCCCTGGTCAACTGGGTTTTCCCGGTTTTCATCAACTTAACGGGCTGAGGGCTAACCGGACCAGATTTGGAGCCGGGTGACCGGGTTCCGGGTCGACCCGTCCGGTCCGGTTTGGTTCTATAAACATAGCAAAATACCCTTTTCCCAAGACAGACTAATATTCATCGTTGCAGACAATTGAAATCCCCATAGCTCCCAGTGAACTACCCGTCGCCTCCTTCCCACCATCGCCTCTATCCCTACATCATTGACGGCTGCCAATCCCATCACCATCGCTGATGCCTTCCAATTGCATCACCATATCTGCCGCCTGCCAATCGCCTCACCATCGCCGTCGTCTGCGATTCGTTAATAGCTCCGGCTGTAAATCAATCGCCTGCTCCATCTCTGAATCGACCAAAGTCCGAAGCTACGAGCATCGAGCATCGCCTCTGTGCATCATCAATTGGTCACTTCATCGAGTTTCTGTTCATCTCTTCTTCATTTATTCTGATATCGTGGTAGGGTTTACAAGGGTGGGGCAATGGTTGTACAGGGGCTTGGGAGGGGGCTGGGGCTGGGCAGGGGGTCGAATCGGGGCAGGGAATTGAGCTGGACTTGGGATGGTGGGGGGGCCTGGGGGAGGTTGGCTGCAGGAAAGGGGCTAGGCAGATTGGTCACGGGGGAGGGGGTCATCAGTGGTGGTGGTCAACGTTGGTCACAAGTGGCAAGCGGTGATCACTGGCGGCGGCACTGACCAGTCATTGGCAGGGCCAAAAAGGATCACTGGCGGTGGTGGCAGAGGACAGGTCAGTGTCGGCAGCGGAGGCGGTTGTCCCTGGCAGTGGTCGGAGGTGGTGGTTGTTGTCCTTAACTATAAATAATCAACTTGGGTAATTGTAACTAGTGGGTCGGATCGGGTAATTGTAACTGACTGATAGAGTATTGTAATTGGTGGGTTGAGTAAATGTAACTGGCGGGCCGAGTAACTGTAACTAACGAGTGAGATAAGTGTAACTGACGTGTCATGTAAGTGTAACTGATCGGGTAAATGGTCATTGTATTGTTCGTCACCGGGGCGGTAGTAACTGAGATGATGGTCACTGAAGCGGTAGTCACTGAGACAGAGGTCACTGAGATGGAGGTCACTGAGGCGGTAGTAACCGGGACGATAGTCAGTTTAGTAGTGGTAACTGGAACTATAGTTACTGGAGCGGTAAAACCCGAGATGATGGTCAATGAAACGATAATAATTGGAACTGGAGTACTAAAGCACTAGTAACTGAGACAATGTTTTTTTACAACTTTAAGAATTCTAGTGAATTATTTTAAATATTTATTTTTAGGTATATTTATTATTGTAATATTAAAAGAAAAAGAGAAATTGAATGTTAGTGTCCAAGCTAGAGGCTTAAATTAGTGAAAGCAGTGAAGTGTTACGTAATGGGCCGGTGGTGCAATTGTGCAAGTATTGACGGTAAACTGGTTACCGAGCAAACATATGCGCGTGTAGATTGACAGTTAAACGGCAAGGGCAATTTAGAGAAGTAGGATTTTATTAGTCCCATTTTTGGAAGTTATAAAAAGAGGTTTCTTTCTTGTCCATTACTATATTTTAAGTAATATTCATGTCAAAACCACATCTTATATTGAAAGAACAAATAAACCACATCGGCCAAAAACAAATTTTAATGTGAATTGCTCTCTAAGATCATTTCTATTTTACAATCAATTAGGGTAAATGAATGAAACATACATTTAAATCTATTGGCTTATTTTGATGTATTGAAAGTCCTGCGTATAATACTTTGGGGGTGGAATCTACCCCGCTAGGCCGCTACCCACCATACCAGAGTACCAGGTGACTTGCATCGGCTGTCGTGTATAACAAATGGAAACAAAAAGTTACCCAAAAATTTCCCCGAATGCCCAACTTTAGTCTTTAAAGGCTTTAAATGTGTTTTGCCATAAAAACACAATCCCCTCCAAAGATGACTTCCTCTTTAACCAAGCATTCCAGCTCAGCTGGTTGTGAGGTTTCCGTGCCTAGTGGGAGGTTTCGAGTTCGAAACACGCTAGGCACATAAGGGTTTGAAACTCAATGGGCTGAATTTCAGCCCTGATTACTCCAGACTCCCCCCAACCCCCCTCCCCCAGACCCCCGGAGTAAAATAAAATTAAAAAAGATGACTTCCTCTTTTTGGAGGAAGGCATTTGCTATAGAAGTTCAGTCATGAAAATATATACCTTCATGGGGACATGCTCCAAATCCAAAATAAATAAAACATTCAATGCCAAAGACATGCAGCCAATGCACACACACAGTTGCACACTGACACACAACAACAAATTTACAATATATTGAGTAGAGAAATACAACACTTCAAATAATTGGATACTAGTCATTTGAATAAAGATGGCTGAGTACATTCAACTGCCAGTGTACCTTGGTAGGGTTGCTAATTTTCAGGTGCTGGTAAATTGAGATTGACAACTATGGGCTATGGCATCACTTCAAAAACATCCACTTCGAACTTCATAATGGTGCTACCACATAGTGTAGACTTCATAGGCTGATTTGCGCTCTTATAATTCTTTGACGACGATCACATGGTGAGACTTTCTCTTTACACACACATGAGATGGCTGAGAATGACTAGCAGCACACCAAATTTCTTCAATCAGGTAACTTAATTTACAAGTGCAGAATGACAGCTATTTCATCTATCGTTACTTCCGGACTGTAAAAGGACATATTGGGTTATTGTTCATCTAGCTTCTCGAAGTCATTTTAATGTCATTAATCTACACCTAATCAACAATGAAGATTGCAAATGTCCGGTATAACACCACGAACATGGCAAAAAATAGCTCATCCTCGAGATATATGCTCACAAAATGCATGGGACTATTTTACATGCACTCTAGCACTTGCATGAGATTAATTCTTTTCGGACTAAAAGACTACCACATGTCAAAGTGATATGTTCTCGGACTCAGTTAGAAAAGAGGTAGTTTTTAGCCCACAAGTATTACTTCTGAGCTTGAAGAGTGATAGGTCCTACACATGGAGCTCTGTAGGACGTTACACACAAGGTTTGGTGGGCAAATAAAATCAACCTGCAGCAGTAGTGCACAATATACAACGCATCTGAAGGGCACCTGATGAGGTATCCTCATCCTCTTCTTCATCAACTTCACCATTATCATATTCATAATATGGAGATGCGCTTTGGGAGAGGGGTCCCGTCCCTTTTTTGCTACTCACAGCATTTGTGGAGTCCATAAGGCAATTCAAGTGGTAGGTGTGACAGCAAAAGAATGCAATAATGGATACACTCTGTATGGAAAAAGGATCAAAACATATGCAACACCTCCCACCTCCCCTAGTTTTTGATTTGACCGCTATGGATTTTGTTCCAAGGTTTCGGTCAACCAAATTTAAACCCCTCTGCTCACCCCTCTTGGAACGAGCTTCATCTACCTCATCACTTAAGTGAATTGCACGCTTTGCTTCTTTGAAGTACTTAATCAGAAGGTTAACACAATCTGTCTGATAGTTAAACACAAATCATCATTAGAAACAAAGACCAGTTGCAGTTTCAGTGTAAAAAGATGGGACATAAAATCTCATATACCTTGAGTATGTCATTACAACCATGTCTAAGAGAAGTTTCTGTCCTGTAGTCGGTGACAATTTTGACCAAACGATCCCTCAGACTGAAAGTGAAACAAACCAACCAATTATTTATTAAGGCCCGGTTTGAAAGTTATTAATAGAAGTTAGAACTAAATATGATATAGGGAAAATACATGATAAAGAAGAAAGTTAAGACAAATACTTCCTCTATGCCATTTTATGGGTCTCATATTTACTTTTCTTATGAGTTTATCCCACAATATTGCCAACTTTCCTTTTTTAAACACCACTAACTTTCTACCTTTCCCAATTTACCCTTATACGGTTTGACATTTGGATCCATTTGCACAACTTTTTATGTTTTATACGAAGTACAATCTAAAAATGAATATGGAATTGGAGATTGATAGGAACTCAACCAACACAGCAGGGAACTAGTAATATATTGATTAAGAAATCTGAAGGAGCACAGGTTTACACGCACAGAAATGGTGGAAAAGAAAAGAAAGAGAAAAACAGGTTGAGACTCTTCGAGAGGTCCCGCTCTCCCAGCCCAATTCTCACAGAATTCCAGCCTAACTCTTATTCCTTGCATAGCTTCTATTTATACTACTCTCAATAGTTAATATTACTTTTAATAACACTACTCTACCTGGGTCCCTATCTTATTATCACTATTACTATTACTACTACTACTACTACTACTACTACTACTACTACTACTACTAATCTGCCTGGGCTCCTATTAGAGATCAAAAGTGAAAAATCGATGAGGATGCATTTATATGACACATTTATAGTAGAGGGGCTTAAGTGATGGGCTTGGAATACTTGAAGAGTCTATTTGAGTCGTTTCCTTTCTAGTTTTAGCTTTATAGTTGTGACTTCTAGGTCATGTTGATTCAACAATCTACCCTTATTCGCTCTGTGTACCTTTTCCGGATACTGAAGACCTGTTAAATATCAATGTGACCTAGAAGCCACAACTATAAAGCTAAAACTAGAAAGGAAACGACTCAAATACTCTTCAAGTATTCCAAGCCCATCACTTTAGTCCCTCAATTATAAGTGTGTCATATAAATGCATCCAAAAATACAAATATCTAATGCTGCAGCCATGCATCATGGGAATTGACATTGCCGCAGGAGGGATGCATACAGCAATACTGGTGATGGATGACAAACACACCCCAAGAAAGAATGAAGAAGAAGAAAGGAAAAGGAAAAAGGGAGGAAAAATACGCTGAAGGGCGAAGACCATTCTAAGAAAAACAGAAGAAAAAGAAAACGGAAATAAAAAAGACCATGGCAAGGGGAAAAAAGGTGAAAAAAAGTATTTTACCATGTAAACAAGTGGCGTGCTAATAGAGGTCATCTTCCAGTTATTTGACCTGTTCGACTGGTTCTTAAGAGAGTTTGTGTACGTGATACTTTTTAGTTATATTCCAAGCTCCAAAAATAGTAGGCTCAAGGATTATATGGAGGCAAGGTGCTACTTTCAAGCATCTAAATGTTGCACGGTTCTTAAGAGTGTGTTTAAGTGATACTTTTTTTAGGTATGTTCCAAGCTCCAAAAATATTAGGCTCGAGGATTATATGGAGGCAAGGTGCTACTTTCAGGCATCTAAATGTTGCACAGTTCTAGGTTGATCAATTCCCACAGGGTTGGAATTGTTTGTCCCAATGTGAGGCCTTATTAAATCCACAAATCAGGAAGGTTGAGTCAAAACCCCAATTATATTAGATACTAAGCATAGAAGTTTATTCAAGTTCACTGAAACAGAAAAATACATGTTTGGACTAGAACAAACTTACCGGGGTATCTCCAAGCCATTGGGAAGCATATTTACTATATACAGAGGATCAAGGTTCCCTACTGTATGCTCTAACAGTACACCAACCTGAAAGTAGGAAGACATACAGAAAATTATACATTACACAAAGAAGAAGGGTGGATGCACAAGCAGGGACATGAGGCAGATGATAAAATAAAGAAACAGAAACAATGCTGGTAAGGCACCCTAACTTTTTTTTGGATTTAATATTTGAAATCCTTAGCTTACCATTTCAGGTTTATTAAGGCACTGCCTGATTAATTCTTCCCACAGTTCATCATCATGTTGCTCACTCACGAATTCTATTGCCTGTATAAGTCAGAACTCAGAAGATATGTTAAGTACATAAAATTAAGAACAAAGAGAAAGAGAATAGAATTGCATGGTACCTCTTCAATATCTCCTATCTTATTTATGATAACTGCTAGGGCTTGCTTGGAATTCCCCATTCTTCCAAGAATGAAAACTTGCTCTTTCAATAGATTCCTTTTGACACAGATATCATAAGCCTGGAAGCATATGTAGTATTTCATTCAGATTTATAAGCATGCAAAAGTTGTGATTTATCAACATATTAAACTTGCAAACCTTCTCAAGTGTATAATGTTGGCTACTCCTGAGAAATGGAAGCAGCATCTTCGGATCATACTCAGAGTAGAGCTCGACCTATTAAGTATTGCATAATTAACAAAGATATATAACGTGTAGATAGCATAAACACATAAGTGGGAACAAAGATTCAAAAGACCCCAGTGGTGAAGGAGTTCTCAAGTACTACATCATGAAAGGGAAATTTAAAGTTTGAAGTCTATTTGGGAACAGATAAAACAGTCAGATGTAGACACTACTTCAAACAAGCTGGTCTTTTGAACTTATATATGTTAATCTAAAATAATTGTGTTTGTGGCATTTTAGGGATGCTTATCAAGATACACATCCTGTTAGATGCTTCTTGCATCAAGCAACCAAGAAGCATAGAAATACAAAACTAAATGAAGATATTGGAACTTCAAATCACAATTACAATCCAAAAGTTGATTATGAATACAACAACAACCAAGCATTATTCCCAAAGGATTTAAGTTGATTATGATTATTCAAACAAAAATTGAAGGCATACTTTCTGAAGAAATTGACGAAAAAGATAATAAAAATATTCATCAAATCTGTGAATCACTCCGTACCCAGATGAAGGGAATCATTCAGTAAAGTGAGATGTTTTTCCTACAGACCTGGAGATCATGGTAATCCCTTCCTGCGTGAGGATTTGTTTCAAAGAGTGCATGGAGGTATAGATGTGTCATGTGTCGTGAATCACCCTTATTCCCTGCAGCCAGTTGTGACACCACCTCGGGAGGAGGTATTAGGTCCCTGTGTTGGATCAAGAGCGGTATAGCACGCTTAGAGTCTACCATCATAAGTTGCGCAACCTAAGAAGATGAAGCATGACATACAATTAGAACAAGTTTAAAAAACTCAAAAATAACATAAGGCTACTTCATATTATGCATATAGAACAATCAATTGAGTTTGTTCTTGTTCCAGTACCATTACAATGGTTACAGTGGGTATATGCACATAACATGCATGTGCAGAAAATATGGCTGATTATTCGAAGAAATTTAAGGTGGTCTAAGAGTCAAGATAACCAAACCTCATATTCCTTACGTCATGGTTACAGCGAAAATGCACATACATGCAACAACAAAAACAACATCCAAGTCTTAGTCCCAAAAGAACTTTGGGTCAGCTAACATGAATCGATACATGATATCGGAGCCAAAAGGAAAAGAAAGATAAGAAAGATAAAGAGATAAGGTATGATAAAAAAAAATTAGAAAAAGATAAGATAAATATAAAGATAAATATAGATATAGATAAAGATAACATGATAAGATGAAGGATAAAAAGAATACATATAAAAGATAAAAAGGATAAAAGGATAAAGAACATAAGAAATACGGAGTATAAAGAAGATAAAAAGATAAAAAGGTGATTAGAGATCAATCCTCCACATGAATATCTGCCCTCCATTTCGCTCTCTATAAAGTCATACTCTCATCCAACCTAAAAAGAAGCATATCACTCTTGACTTCTCTACTCCATGTCTATTTGGGTCTTCCTCTCTTTCTCCCCGCCTCTTCTCCACACCTCTCAACTCGTCTAAAAGGTGCATCATTTGGTCTTCTACGCACATGACCAAACCACCGCAATCGAGACTCCCGCATCTTTTCTTCAATAGGTGCTACTACCACATACAGTTAATATACACATACATGCATGTGCAGAAAATATAAATAACTATTAAAAACACTTTAAGGTGATCTAGAAGTTAAGATAATCAAACCACATACACCTTTCGTCAAATATTTATACTTTTTATTCTGTTCATGAGTTCATCATATAATTGATCTAATCATTATCCATATAAAGGAATATATGTTATGAAATTTTACCTTTTCAGAAACAGCATCATGTAAATTATGTTTTTCGATGAAGTCAAATAGATTTGGCTTCATAAGCTGGAAAGCGAAAAGCAAATGTATTAGAAAATCCCAAATAAAAAAACTACCATATCACAGTATCAACCGCAACCCTTGCAAAGCAAATGTGATTGGTCCAATATCAGAGAATAAGACTTCCACTTACATCAGCATAAAGTGAGAAGGCCTTATCATGGTGTCCCTCACTAACATATAGCTCTGCCAGTGCCTTGAATGGAAAGGTAGCAAATTAACCAATGTCAGATGGTGATGACGTATAATGTAGCTGATGGACAAGCAAATTTTGCTAACCTCCTTGAGTGGACCAGTCATTGATGTTGCTCTAAGCTGAGGTTCTATAGCTGATATGACTGGGGCTGTAGAATAGATGCCAGGAGGCCAAGATTTGACAGTTGCTAATAGATCCTTGTGGAAAGATGGGTTGGTTGCCAATGCCACAAGAGCTACCTGAGAATGAAGGACACTTGAGTATTAAATTCACACCTATTGATCAAGTAAGAATCGCTGTGAACTGTATACCTCATAAGCAGTATCACGAAGCCTAGGATTTTCTGTTGGGATATATGGAACCAATACAGGAAGTTGACGAAGATGAGCGAAATGAAAAACCCATCTAGAAAAGTAACCAGGCAGAAGTTAATAAGAACCTAGCTAAAGAATGTCTCTTTTTCTTACTTAAATATTCTCAATACCTTTCCCATGCAGAGGCAGATCCTCTCAACAGTTTTGGACACAGAGATGCAGCTTCAGCATACTTCCTTTCCACAATCAAATGGTCAAGATATCTCGCACCTACCTGATTCAAATTGATTATTATGGGAACCAACTATCAGTAATACAAGAAAATAGTTGATAACATTGGTAATGAACTCCACCAGAAAACTAAGTATAGCATGATCCATTAGTCACTAAATAAAGCTTTTAGATGTCTCAATATGCATTAACCAAAACAGTGAAACACTAGCACTACAATTTGAAGTGCCTGAACTACATTAGAGAAAAATTCTGAGACCATTTATTAGCATTAGTACTAGATGCACTCTAGATAATAAAAAGCATGATACGGATAAGAACTTGATATCCATGATCTACCTCATCAAGTAATTCACTACGACCTTGACTAGCTTCAACAGCTTCTAGGGCTTTCTCGTGCCATCCATGCTGAAGAAGCCAATTAATGTGGTCTTCTGCATCCCTAACAGACAGCCATGAAATAGCAAATAGAAACTTTGATTATATGCACATATTGTGGAAGAAATATAGTGATAAGGAAAAATTAATAATCTAAACCCTCAATTTAAAGCTTAAATCAATCAGAGAATGACCCACTTACCTAGGCTTTGCAATAACTACATCCTTTGGGGACACAACATAGTACAAGGGTTCATCACCAGCAGCCCACTGCCCACCTGCATAGCTACTACCTACATGCATTATAGGTAAAGCATAAAAAGAAGTAGTCCCATTTCAATTTTATTGAGAAGTATTTGAACTTCTGAACCTAAAGCTTTTTGCATATGTAGTTTTACCAGAAAATGGAGCATGCGCAAGGGAATAGTCTTTGGCTTTATAATGCTCAAAACCATGCACAGGAAGTGCATCTGTTGCAAGCTCTTCATTAGTCCATGTTACTACTCGGACTTCTGGTCTCTGGGCATTTCCCTGTGAGATGATCACAAAAATCACCTATTTCATTATTTCATACATCTTAAACAGATCAAGAAATGGACTAAACCTTATAGATCGAAGAGATTTTATGAAGAACATTTTATTCATCTAAAGGAACGAATCAACTTAGTTCAAGAGCTTGTCATGGGAAGATTCCTATAAGAAAAGGGACTCAGGCTCATGCTGAGAGAATTAGATTAAAAATATACATACATGACGTGATGGAGTGGCACTACTGAAGTCCTTCTCTCCATCTTCTCCCGGAATATAAGCTAGAATAACCAAAGTGTCACCAAATGGAGCAATTCCAGAAATGAAATAGCCGGTTTGAAAAGATGCCACTATATCCACCTGGTTGATACTCAACATTGGAATATGTTTGTAATTTCCATTCACACCCTTGTTCTGGTTTGTTCTTATTACTGCAATTTTGACAGATGATCCCCACCCAATGACCAAAAGAGTATCATCCTGAATGTGATTGAAAACAATCAACAAAATAAAGCTTTTATATGTCTCAATATGCATTAACCAAAAGGGTACAGCAAGTTCCCTTGGAACATGGTGGTTACAGCAAAAGTATGATAGCAGAACCGATACAAATGTGCATCTTAATATCAGTACTTAAGAAGCTCTTATGAATTCTTATCTAATCATATTGGAAAGGTGCAAAACCCCCTTTATGTTACGTAGGCTTTTGTCTTTAAAAAAATGAATTCTTATCTAATAAAAATGTAAGAGACTGCAAAGTCTATTAATCGAAGTGCAAAGAGTATATTCCATTAAACAGATGAGTTTCAAAACTGACCTGCCAAACTAAGTGAGGCAGAAGAAGTTCAGGGTGTGGGCTTCCACGTGGTCTTTCAATAAAAGTAATACGCTGGTCATTGGCAGCATCATAAACTTTCACTCCTGCATCATTGGCCCAGGCAATGAGATTAGCTCTCCACTTCACAGCATGAATTGGACCTTCACCAGAGTGAAGAACCTAGAAATGCAAAAAGAAAGTGTAAATAATCATTATTGTTCGAGAAAAGGGTCAAATGAGGTCTTCTACTATAATGAAATCGTCACATAAGACCATGTACTCAATAAAGTGTCATATAATACGTCTACTTATAAAAAGCAATCCGATGAGTCATAACGACCTGTTGACAACCTCGTAATCCCGGTTTTAGCGTACGCCTGACTATCATTTTAAAATATATTATAAGGCTGACGTGAAATATTTGACCAAGATTGGCTTAAATACAAGAAAAAAATAACGACTTGTAAGCTTTATATGACACTTTATTGTTCAAATATGAATCCAGTCCATTCAAGTTAAATGAAAAGTAGTAAACTAAAAAAAGTGAGCAAACCTGATCGCGGTAGCCTATCCACTTTTTGACATTAAAATACAATTGTCCGGCTAAACCACCAGTCACAAATCGTCTGGATGATTTGTTGGCATAACCTGGGTCTAAGGCAATAGCCTTCATGGGGCGGTGATACTCAAATTTCATTCTTTCTTCAGTGAAAAGTCCATGTATTATAACAGATCCATCATCTGAACAGCTCCCAATGTATTCACCTTCCACGTCAAAACAAAGGTCATTCACCGCAGCAGTATGAGCAGCAAATTCCTTAACCTGTAGAAGAAGAAATAGCTTTATATCCCAATAAAATGACTACTCAATTACTTAATTATAAAAAGAATGACATCCACCCCTTCTACCATAATCAGAAATGCACCCATAGTTGTCATGGTGTATGGCGAAAATCATGTCGCCAAGGCACTTTTCCAAGACGATGGCGCACTTATGGTGTCACCACATGACACAACAAATAAATACTAAATATATGAACCATAGACACAACAACTCAACAACCAAAAGATGAGTTAAAAGTTGAACAATCACATTCAAACCATAACATGTGAAGTTAAAATAGTTTAAAGTAGTTTAAAATAGTTGAATACCCGCATCTTTTGAATACCCTTTTTTCGCATCTTTTAAATACCCTTTTGCAAATCTTTTTTACTTCAGATTTGCCTTAGTTGCACAACTTTCTCTGGCTTTAAGTAAGCTGGCGTCTTTGCTTTATATACTTCTTCTTAGGGGTTTATTAATAGTATGGGCTGATTACTTAATTAGATAATTAGTAATCAAAGCCATATTAACGGGCTGACTGGTTAATGAATGATCAGGTTCAAAACCCAAAAGTAACTAAAAAATGTTAAAATCTGTTTTAAAAAATGGCGCACATGGCATGGCCATGGCCACAGCGCCAATATGGCATCGCCACATGTTTAGTCATCACCATTAAGGTTTTTGTGGCGAAAGGGCCTTCATATCGCCATATGGTGTATGTGGTGAGCGCCATATTGCGCCATCGACAACTATGAATACAACTAAATGTGCCAAATATATAATACTTTTAAACAAGAGAAATGTATGTTTCATGAAACAGTCTGTGAAAGGTCATGAGAAACTCCACCTAAGAGCACAATAATAAAAGTCAACTTTCCCCCCTAACAATGAATATCTTTTTATGTTAGTCTTTATCAACCGAAAATGAAATACATTCAATGATTAAGCAAAATTCTCACAATATCTTTAACTTATTGATAAAATGATGAACTACACAAGCTGGGAAAGTTCCGAAGGCAATAGCTTCTTGGGCAGTGTGTCACAAAATATTTTTAAAAACTGAAGTGTGTAGGTTCATATGATTCTCTATAGATCAACTTGAGTTTCTTTAAATAGTTGCAAGAGAATCCTCGCAACCAGGTCATTTGGTATCAAACGGCCAGCATATGAGCTATGTTAACCATAATAGCATTCTACTGGCGCAGTCAGATACTGATGATTGTCATGTAAGCTATGCTAACTGCAATATCATTCTACTAGCACGGGCAGTAGGACAACACAATCTCCAATCACCATTACTTCAGCCAAAGTAGGATTAACTTAAAGCTAAAAATTAAAATAAAATAACATAACTAACAAGTACCTCATTGCCTAGGAAATCGAGAATGTGAACAGAGCCACCTAGAGTGCCCAAGGCGATCATCCGTTCCGCAACAGCGACACACGAGGCAGCATCGTTGGAGAGGAGAGACGGCACGCTGCCGCCCATTCTCTGGTACTTAAGCCTCGGCTCATCCTCCTCCTCTTCTTCTAACTCCTCGTCTTCTTCAGACTCCCCTTCTTCCCTCTCGTCGTCGCCATCGATTCCATTTTCAGACTTCGGAGACATTCCAATCCTCTAAGAAAAAAATTGATCGCAAGGACAGATAGATAGGAGTGGAGATCGGTGGAAACTGGAAAGTGGTTAGAATGTGTTGCTCCGCGTGGTCCGGAGAAGAAAGCTGTCGGAGGTCCGTTTAAACAGTTGTTTATTCAGCTTTTTTTATTTGGATTTGGATTTTTTATATTTTTATTTTGACGGGAAGCAGTTGTTCTGTTTGTGCTCATAAACACAAGAGTCTGTCGTAGTCTTAACTGGACAGATATGTTTGGAACTGACTCTGCTTCTCTTTTTTTCAAAGCAGAATCAAAATCAGTTTTTGGTTTTCTCAACTTCTAAATAAATTGATTCTAAGAGTAAATTAGAGTACTTTAATCACTTTTGCACTTTTATCCGAACACTCCAACTTTTGCTTCTGAAGAAGCACAAGCAAGTTTTAAGAATTGATCCAAACACCCCCAAGGGATTCCCTGAAGGAATCTCAAAAACTAGTTCATTTCAGGCAGTGTAATTACACCAGGGACGTAAGGTAACTTGGGAAGAGATGATGTGAAATGATGTACTACGTAGTATAAGATTTACTAGTATGATTAATTCAAATAGTAAAATATGTAATGGTAATTGATACGAAGTACTATATTTAAAATAAAAAATGCAAATAAAACATATTCAAATGATGATGGAGAAAATACTACTTACGGAGTACTACTTAGCTTTTCCAAAGATAAAAATGTGACAAAATCTTAATAGGTCGTCTACGGCTTGTTCCTTGTGGTTCATAAATATTGATAGAAATTGTTGTCTCTGTCTAAGTGAAATTGTAGAACAATTTTTCTTAACGTGCCCAATTACTAACCATATTTGGAGAAGTGTTTGTCAATGACTATAATTAAGAAGTCTTTGAATACTTACCTAAAGTGATAAAATGTTGTTAGAAAGAGTATAAGAGAGCTCACCTTAACTGCAAATCCATCATATTGGCTTTTTGTTGTACTGTGTATAAATATGCAAGAGTAGGAATTCTAGAATTTTTGAGAGAAGTCATGCACAGGTCCATGATTTTTTTTTGCATATTAAGATTTTGATTTATAAAATTTTGTATATGTACTATCCTTTTGATATGATCGATTTTTAGACTCCCTTCACATTGTTTGTTAGAACTCAGAGTGGTTATGAAGGTTTGCAAGAATTGATTTGTTTAGTTGATATAGTTCTTATGTGGCAGACTTGTTAGTTGTTGATATTGTGAGATGTGTATTGAGGGGGATACCCCTTAATGCTAGTGTGAGATATGGACCGAGAGGAATGCCCTTATCTGATAGTGTTGTATATGGTGTTCTAATTTAATACGTAGTATATGTTTACAAGATATCCAAATTAAAGTAAGGGCGGTGGTTTCACTAGTCGAGGGCACTAAGGGTGCCAATGAATTGGCGACAACTACGGTCGGGGGATTGGTGGCAGTGACTAGGTTTGGGGGATAATGGGGTTTTTGGACATTTTGACAAGTCGGGCAACTAAAGTTGTCACTACTAAGATTGTGGTGGGATGGGGAAGTCCATGAAAGACGCACAAAGCTTTGAGCGAAGTGGGCTTGTTGTGCGTGAGGGCTCAAGTTCCAACGATGGTTATCGTTTCTGTATAGTTAGGTGACAGTCTGGACAAAAAGTCATTGGGGGTGACACCACCCTGCAATGCTTGTGTCATTGAGCGTACGGGTGGGTGTCGGTAGGACAGTGTTATGTAACTCGACGTGCATCGATGTAACTATCATTCACGGTGTCTGGACCATTGGGAGCAACGGTCTCACCAAGTGGCAGTTTCACTGGTCCAACTGTTGCGATAAACCTGCCATTGGCGGCAATGTAATGGTTTGATTGGTCGCTTGGATGCTAGTTTAAGTGTCACGAGTGACCATCAGTCCACAATTTTACTATGTGCGCTGTGTCACCAACGAAAGATGAGATGTCATTGGTGATTGTCAATGAAGCCGATAGAGCGGAATCCGTTAATTAAAGTGTAGTACAATTAATAACACTTTACTTGAGCAATCAAATGTTATTTAAAGTATACAATCAAAAGCTATAATGCATCTAAGAAATTAATTGAACTTACTTTAATCTAATATCATAGATTGTACGTTATTTGTATTATAAGAGATTTTTCAATCTAAAATTTGATATCACAGAAGAATTTTTATGGCAATGGCTAAGGTTGGGAGACAATGTGGTTTTTTAGACCTTTGTCGAGTAGGGCAAAATAAGTTGGTCACTTTTAAGGCTATGGTGAGTGGGGGAGTCCATGAAAGACATATAAGGCTTTGGGCGAAGTGAGCTTATTGCGACTGAGGGCTTAAACTCCAATGCCAATCACCGTTTCATTAAGGTTTGATGATGGTTTGGACTAAAAGTTAATGGTGATGACCCCACCACACAATGTTTGTGTCATTGGGTGTATGTGCAGGCGTCACTTGAACGGTGTCATGTAACTCGACGGGGCGTTGGTGTAACTATCATCGCAGCGTCTGTATAATTGAGAGTAATGGTGTCACCAAGTGATAATGTCACTAGTCTGACTGTTGCGTTATACCTACCACTGTCGGGAGCGTCATTATATGGTTTGATGGGTCACTGACGTGCTAGTTTAAGTGTCACGAGTGAAGGGCAAATAGTGAGATGTCATTGGCAATTGTCAATGTCATTGATAGAGAGGAATCAAATGTTAATTAAGTGTAGGACAATTAATAACACTTTACTTAAGCAATCAAAAGATATTTAAAGTGGATGATCAAAATTATATATATGAAATCAATTGAATTTACTTTAATATAACATCATAGATTGTTATTTATATTATAAAAGAATTTTCAATCTAAAAATAAAACTTTCTGCACTATAACATGTCAAGAGCATGGGGTGGCAAAGAAGCCCTAGTGCTGCCCCCCTTCGTTGATGTCCCCGAAGTGCTATTTTTTAAATTAAGTATTCACAAAATGTCTAAAAGGTGGTCTGGAGCACCTATGAGCGGTGATTTATTTCTATTAAAGACAATCTTGTAGTCCTATGTAGATTTTCTCAAATGTCACTTTTTCTCGAATTGAGTATGACAATAATATCGATGGATTGTCCACCTTCCGACCCCTACAAACCATTGATGGGAAGGGTGATAGTATCTTTTTTACCAGGCATGTGTGTTTCAAATTGCAAAAGTCATTGATGTTCTGTCAGACGCGACATATCTACAGGTTCAGTGAAGTCAGACGATGGTGCTACGTGATGTATCATTTATGACTAGTTTCAATCGTATTTACAATTCAATTTCACTTGTTTAGGCACTTTATATTATTTGTTGTAGATTCGTTTTGAAATTTTTAGAGAAGGTGTACATTTGCATATCATGTTAGAAGCATAGAGACCGACATGATCAAATTAAGCATTCATTTGTCCGTCACACATGATCAATGTCTTTTGAGCTCATTAACATGAGGCAAAACCGAAGTGTAATTACTGAGTTTCTTACTATGCCTCGTATTATCTCGACTCTATAATTGAGAATAGAGTAAAAGTACAATGCAAGGAAAACACAGAATGAGAGTGGAAAAGGGAAAAAGGACAATACGAGAAAAGGAAATGAGTCAGCCAAAAGGCAAAATGCTACACGGGGGAACCAAGCATTCCAGCCCAGCTGGTTGTGAGTTTACCGTGCCTAGCAAGAGCTCTCGAGTTCGAAACCCGCTAGGCACATAAGGGTTTGAAACTCAATGGAGTGAATTTTAGCCCTGATTACTCCAGACTCCCCCCAGCCCCCCCTCCCACAGCCCCCCCTGGAGTAAAAAAAAATTTTAAAAATGTAGAGCATGTGTAATCTTGGATCTAATGTGAGTGCTAGCTCCTCATCGATCTTTGGAATAGAAGCAATTTTGATCTCAATCAACCTCTCCAATAGTTTTTGTTCTGGTGGAGGAGTGTCAGAATCATTGCTCGATGCATCTGCTTCCATAGGTTGTGAGTGGTTTTCCTTGGTTATTTCGGAGGGAAAGATGTACTCGGCAAGGGTAAGCGCATCGGGATCCTCCTCACCTAGGCCACACTTGTCCTCTGCAGATATGATTTGTGATTTGGTGGAGCAGGCTATCAAAATATCCAAGGAAAAAATTGCTTTGGATAAGAAAGTACATTTTTCTGTAGCTCCATCAGTGTTCCTGTGCGGAAAAAGAACTGGGTCCTCCCGTGCTAAATTGTGTAGTCCCACAAAGTTGGATTAAATATTCAAAAATTCAATCAGGCTTGATTTTCTCCGCCCCATAGGAATAAGGGCAAAGCTACCCTTTTCCTTTTTTTTTGAAAGGAAACTCATATTAATTCATTTCAATTTTCTACCAGCGTAATAATACTTTCTGGTAGATCATTTACAAATGTTTGTTCTACACCATTGTCTGGCATCATTCTTGCCATTTGATGAGCAACTACATTGCCTCCTCTTTTTACATGTGAAAATTCAACAACATCAAACTTAGAACAAAAATGATAAATATCTTCCAAAAAAATTCCTAAAGAAGTACCATCTTTCTTTCTTGATGAGGCTGCCTTAATGAAGTTTAATGCGTCACTTTCAAGAATAACTTTCCTCGCTCCCACCTGGTATGCAACTTGTAGTGCATATACTCCCGCTGCGTGTTCTGCCATCTCCGCCTCCCAGTTCATGTCCATAAAATATTTTTACATTAAAGCAAAGTATTTACCATAGAGGGAGAATAGGTTTCTTACACTTATTTAGAAATAATTAGATGAATATTCACATGATAAGACGTGTCTAATTAAATTACAAAATAACTCATCACTCCTAGGTCAAAAACATTATTTGTAATTACTGCAAATATAGTACGCCATATATTTTTGCTAAGATTCATACAAATTAGTGTTAAGTTTGTTTTTCATCTCTACAATGTATGCTATTTTTGATCACTAGCTAATCATAGTCTCATAGATAATACTTCTATGTTAATAAACAAATATGACAAGCATAAGTTTCACTTTGCTTTTCACATCATGTTTTATATTTCGTATATTTTTGAAGACTGTTAGTACTAGAGATAAGGCAAAATTTGTGTTGCAAAATTAACTTTTAGGGCCAAGGCATGATAAACAAATGAGTGGTTTTGCATTTGACTTACTAAATCGGGACTAATTTGGTAAATAACCTGCCATACCAACATATACAATATTCATTGCAGGGGAAAATAATTTAAATCTCCAAACTTTAATGGGGTTTGAGGTAAACATCCCAAACTTGCATATGTAATATATATTCTCGAACTTAAAAAAAAAAATTCGCGCCACGATTGTTTTTTTACCAATACAAGTTTTTTGGAATAATTACATGATTTAAAATACTCTAAGCATTGTTAGAATGCAGTTAACATTCTAAAATTCCATTTCTGAAATAAATAATATTACACAATTTAATTTTAATTGCATTCTCATAAATATTTTGTGTATTTAAAATCATGTACTTAATACCACAAAATCACATTTGTGAAAAATACATACTCATGATGCTAACATAACTTTTTATATAAAGTTTGAGATATTATATTACTTGTGCAAGTTTGAGGTAATCATCTCAGACTCATCGAAAGTTTGAGATATTTAATATATGAGGAAAAGGGTTAATTGAGTACACTTGTTAGATAACACGTTAATGCAACTGAGTTGGCTAGTGGAATGTTGAATAAGAAGGGGTAATGGACCAAGGTTATAGTGCCAACCTTCACGAAGTCGACCAAAAAGGGGAAATCGACCTTCGGAGGTTGACCAGCGGGGGGCGCCGGCCAGCGGGGGTGCATTGATCAAGGAGAAGTCGACCTGCGGGGGGCTGACGTCGGCCAAGGGGAAGTCGATCAAGTGACTGAGGGCTAGCGTCGAGTCGTCGACCTTCAAGAAGTCGACCTAGGATGTTTTCTTTTGGACTGAAATTTGCTGGTCTGGTCTGATTTGGTCTTGTCTGGTAAATGTCAGATCTCTGTGTATTTTATAACTACGGAAGTCTGGTCTGGTCTAGTCTGATCTGGTCTGGTCTGGGACTAGAAAAAGTCCAAAAGAAAACATCCCTATTAGCATTATGTTAGCTAACTCAGTTGTATTAACGTGTTAATCTAACGTGTGTATTCAATTAACACTAAACCCCCGAATTTGTGTACTTAAAAAGATCAAATGTCATATAATGTACTCTTTAGTCCATCTCATAAAAGTTGATGTACTCAATTGGCTCTTACGGCCTGTTTGGATTGAGTGTTGAGGAGTGTTAGTAATGGAAGTGTTAGTAAGTGTTGATGCTAATACTTGTTTGGGAGAAAAAATCAGAGGTGTTAAGAAGTGTTAGTAATGGTTAGGAAGTGTTAATAATAACCTTCCCAACACCTCAATTGTCCATTTTTTTAACACCCCGATTTGGAGTGTTTTGAGGTGTTGGACAATTATTACCCTTCTCATTTACCCGAAAAACATAAAATGTTTCGACATTTCACTTCGAATGTCCTTCCCACGGGTCTGATGGTTTGTTTTTTCATCTCTTCTCTTTACTCGTTTCTTTTGCCTCAAGGTAAAATTATTAACACTTCCATTATTAACACTTCATTCATTTGACTCTCCCAAACAAGGTAAAATTATGTCTAACACTTACACTTCCCTTCCCTTCCGAGCCCTTACTAACACTTACTAACATTTCCATTACTAACACTTCCAAACACTCCATCCAAACAGGCCCTTAGCTCTTTAATGAGTTTGGATAAGCCTAAGTAAGACTTCCAATTTACAAGTTTACAACTTTTATTCCGAAAAACTACAGTAGTTAAAAAAGTTCGTTGAAACGATACATCGAAAGACATTGTCCAAATTGCCACACGAACCGGTGGACAGACTTTGATCGGACTGGAGCAACACCTATCTGATCTGAACATTGTTCGAACGCTTCTATGTTTCTTCACTTGTTCAGCTGATATTCCATTCCGATCTCGAAGAAATGGCTCCGACACGGCCTGATTTGAACTGAAATGCAGTCTAACTCGCTGCCTTTCCCTCTGATTCCACTTGCGTTGTTCAATGGTGTTGAATTGAGCGAAGGCGGGTTTGAGCTTTCCAGGTATTTGTTTTTGGGTTCCCTGCTTTTTTCACCACCTGGTGGCGGTGCTGGAGGCATGGACTTGTCTAAGGTGGGAGAGAAGATCCTGAGTTCCGTTCGCTCAGCCCGATCCCTTGGCCTTCTCCCTGCTTCTCCTTTAGAGCGCCCTGAGGTAATTTGATCCATTTATGCCGGTGCAATTGAGCTGTAGATTTTGGCTTTTTTCTTAAATCCTTGCTTGACCGGGGAACCAGGGGAAGATGGGAATGATTAGAAAGTATTTGGTATTGATAACTCCAATGACAAGTGGTAGACTAAGGAGTCAGGACACATAATGAGAAGAGATTCTTGGATATACATTGCACCTTCAAACTTGTGCTTACTTATCAAATTTCAATAGCTGTTATATGCCTGCTAACATACCAAATTCATAATTGAAAATATGGAATGTTTATATTCCTGAAGATGCATCATCATTTCCTTAAGTGCTGTTATCACAGGTCCCACCACAGGCAGCAGCGGCAGCTGCTGTTGCACGTGTTCTTGCTGGACTACCTCCACATCAAAGGCATAATATTTCATCAAGTTCTGAAGAATTAAGCTCAATATATGGCAGCGTATCTCCCAGTAAAGTGTTAGATGACCTTGAGGATTGTTTTTATGAAGAGGTTCATCTTTCATTTCTAATAATCTAAGTTAATAACACTGCCTTTCATGCCATTATCTAGTATTCTAGTACTTTTGTTCGGTATTATTAGGTCATAGTTATTATCTTAATTCATCATAATTCTATAGTACAAATTATTGATATATGGCCACTTGCTTTGTATATATATGAATATAAGTTGATAGTGCTGCTTTTCCTTATTTGTTGAACTTTATGTTTGGTATTTCATATTTTCTTTGGTTTCCATTTATTCTAATTTCACTATTATTTATATAATCCATTGGGCACAATTTTTATCATCATTATTTCAATTTAACCAATATTCTTGTGCCTCTTTTCATTTAGGATTTTGATCCAGTAAGACATGTTCTCGAGCATATTCCAACTGATGATAATGAACTGATATATTTTGAAGAAAAGGTACAGTTCTATGACTGTTTCATTATATACTCATTGTTTTGGTAGTTCTTTGACTTTAATCTTCGTTACGGGATTAGGGTTCTGTTAACTAGCTTATATCTTATGGCTCACAATCCTTTGGAGGTGCCTTAACCGTGTTTAAGTTTGAACCCTTGCTTCTGTAAACCGCACAGCTCACCTCCAGCTTTCCATAAAAGAACAAAGTTCCAGACGCTGTCAAGGTCTGCACTGTCTATGTACTTTAGTGATTTCATTTTTTCGTCACTGTCGTAGAATTCTGACAGCATCAGAGTATCCATCTACCAAGGGACCAAAATTGCAACTTTTGAGGACATATTGGCATGTGTATAATTTGAGAACTGAAATGTATCGTTTTCCACTTTATTTGACAACATGTCTATCAATTTTTTACGCCGTGAGTCCACGTTAATCAGCTTTACTTTATAAAAAGGAAAGGATATAATATGTACTCTGATCTTATGCATAGTATCATTGCCACGTACACTGCAATATAGCAGGGCGTTGATGCTAGACACTCAATTTCAATAATTATGTGATGATGATAGGCACATGAAGTGCAATTTCACATTTCAACAAATAGTGATGTGAAATTATAATTTTATTATACCTATATTTGGTGTTCTAATCTGGTGGTTCACACAACTTCTGAATTTGACCCCAACTTGAGTCCAAATTATATCCAGGAAAGAGGGAACACACTTGTTTGAGCAGAACACGTTTCTATATATACTCGGTAAAATAAGATTTATAGGACTCATGTTTTTAAGGAAAAAATGAAAAACCATGTTGGACTTTGGACCAATACCTTCTTCGTATAGGGTCTTCAGGTGTGTAGAATAAAAGGGTTGCGAGTAATGAAGATACTTGTGGCTCCTAGGTTTTGGTTAGTCTATCAAGATGGCTCCAATCGAAGTATATACAGTTTCAATATACTTATAGCAAATTTGCTTCATATTCAACTGTCTTCACAAAACTGTGGAACTTATTTTCCTGGATTTATCTTGTAAAAACAATTCTTGTTATCTACCAATTAAAATTAAAACCAGTTTTCATTAGTATTCATCGTTGTTATTATTTATTAATAAGGTTATGGATGTCACAAGATACAACATTCTGAACTAGTTGAGTCAGGAGGAGCCTCATAGACTGTAACATTTAAAATCTTCAAATTAAGTACCTTTACATGTACTGACAAGCATCAATGTGTTGACTTTTTAACTTCTTTGATGCACACTCTTCAATCTTGGGTTATATATTGTCTTTCATCCTTGAGTTCAACTAGCCATGCACTTCCTGGTTATGTGGTTTTTGTTGTGTGTGAAGATTTACCGGACAAATAGCCCATGAATAATCTTACTTATTCAAAATGGACAGAAGTTTCTTAAAACATCTTATATTTTACATGTAATTCTGTCACTTCTAGAATGGTTTTAATCTAGCATTCACAACTAATTTTATCATACTCTCACATGTGCATGTGTGCATACGTAGGCATGTGTGTATATGTACGTGTATATGTAAAATATGCTAGGTGTACACCCTTGTGTACAAAAATATTTTTACCCTTCCCTCCCTCTCTCTATCCATACGATGCACTCTCTTCCTACTCCCTTCTTCTTTCTTTCATTTTCATTTTCATTTTCATCATCTTTCCTTCCCTCCTTATCTTTCATTTTTCTCTTTTATTTATACTCCATCTTTGCCATCATCTTCCACCACCATCTTCACCATCATCATCTTCGCCGTCATCATCTTCTCGGACTAGAGAAACAAATGAAGTTTAAAATTCACCACAAATTTGTCGGAAAATTAGAGATGAACATTCCCCAATTTTGTTTGTTTGTGTGGTCTATGAAATGTTGGCTGTGTCGTGCTGGATAATAATATAATTTGTCTGTAGGGAAAAATGAAATTAAAAATAAGTGACTTTTTGTAAAATTTGACAAAAATATCTGTATACAAACATTAGTTTTTTGCAGTTTGTGTATCGAGATAAAAATGTTGCACAGAAGTCAGGGTTAAGTTGCACTCAAATCGATGTCTGTGCACAAAAGAAATGTATAAGTACATACATTTCTTGTTTGTATATAGACAACCAATATTTATATAAAGACATTGGTTTCCGACATTTTCTGTGCTCCTACACACTGATGTTTCTGAAAAAGAAGCACACAAATTATGTGAGTTTCATGCAAACGAATGCCTGTATACAGACATTAGTTGTGTGTACTCATACATTTTTTGTCTGTGCCCAAACATTTCTTGTTAGTAAGAATTAATATTTTTCCACATAAAAAAGCCAAGTTTTACAGACATGTACTAATTTCAGTTTAATTTCTTCACACAGATACATTTTATCAAAATTTAGGATGACACCGACAATACTTTACTAACGGCACAGCCAATAGTTCCTGTGACATTTCCGGTGACTACAACTCCGCTTGTAGGTAACATGGAAGATGGCACAAGATGATATGGTGAAGATGGTAGGTGATGAAGATGGAAGATGATGTTGAAGGAAAATGAATAAGATGACGGAAATGGTAAAGATGAGAGGTATGGAAAATGGTGAAGATGAATGGCGATGAAGATGGAAGATGATTAAGAATCTTAAGATATTTGATGAAGATGAAAGAATGAAAAAGAAGAAAGAAGAAGGAGATAACTGTATGGATGGAGAAAGGGAGAGAGGGAGGGAGGGTAATAATTGTAAAATTTGATCCCTTTTATAGGGTGTACCAAAGATGTACACAAAGGTGTGCACCTAGCATTTTTGTATATATGTATGTATGATGCGCATGCTGGTTTCGTTCTTGTAATGTAACATAGCTGTGATGATTATGGTGATGTAGATGATCATGATATTCTTTTCCGTTGTACAAAAAACAATGATGACAATAAAATTTGTTACAGGCTGCTTTTAGATTAGAACAGCTCGATAGAATTGCTGAACGCCTTTCACGCCATGTTATGGAGCATCATGAAGTCATGGGTAAGGTTTTTTGTGTTTGTTCTTTGTTTGTTTTACCACCCTAAGATTCTTCAGGTATATTTTATCATTTTGGTGAAATTTCAAGCTCCTTTCTCTCATAACAACAATCCCATGACATATCATTTTGTTGAGTGAAGTGTGAACAATGGAGAGGGAAGATACACATCTTAGGGGGCAAGCAGCCCTACACTGTTCACAAAATTCCCAGAGTTTTCTATCATGTGTTGAATGATGAGCCACTTAAGAAATGGTGTCAGAAGACCTGAAATTAGAGCTTATTATAATTATTTGTAGCCTCTTTTATTAGATAATTTGGATGGTAAACTAGTCATATTTATCAAACCTTTTTGGGTTCATCTTGTATACAGAAGTGAGTATCTGCTTTATCTTCTTCTTATTCAGTTTTTTACTATTTCCCAGTGTTTTCTATCATGTGTTGAATGATGAGCCACTTAAGAAATGCTATCAGAAGATCTGAAATTAGAGCTTATTATAATTATTTCTAGCCTCTTTTATTAGATAATTTGGATGGTAAACTAGTCATATTTATCAAACCTTTTTTGGGTTCATCTTGTATACAGAAGTGAGTATCTGCTTTATCTTCTTCCTATTCAGTTTTTTTAGTATTGTTCCTTGGTTTGAACTGCCACTCTTTTTTATTCCACTTTTCGCATCATGGAAGCAGAGGTTGTGTGCTTTCAATCTTTAACAACGTGCTTGTACTGGCAGTGAAAGGAATGAATCTTGTCAGGGAATTGGAAAGAGACTTGAAGGTTGCAAATGTTATTTGCATGGTAAGAAGCCAGATCCTTGCGTTCTAGTATTGTAGTATCACCTATTTTAAATTTTTAAATATAAATTATAAAAGTGTTACATGCATCGGTTTGGATGGAATCTATCAAAGCTTTGATCTCGTGGCACATATAAAGAATCTCTAGACATGTCTCTGTATATTGATTATGTTTTAGGAAAAAGGACACAAATATTACCTATAGCTTTGTGAAATACAAAAAGGTGACTACGTTTCTTTTTTCTTTTTCCCCAAAAATATGATTAACCTTTTGCTTAATTAATCCATCTTTTTTATTGTAATTTATATCCAATCTCCCCCCCAACTCAATCACTGCCGAATCTTCCGTCGGAAAAGTCGCTGGAAAAAGCCATCGGAAAATTTTCCGTTGGTCACAGTGACACGTTTCACGGCGGCAGTGACATCCGTAAGTGATGAAAATCTGGCAGTGACATCATGTTTTCCAAATACATGACCTTGTCTGTCAAATTTTAGTCCATATATAAAGGTAGTCACTTTTTTGGAAATTGACTTCAATTTAGCCATATTTAAGGAAAACCCCTGTTATAGCATGCCTTTTACGTAAAGGAATTGAATGAAGCTGGCTTTTATTTTGTTTATATGAATTGACTTAGCTATTCATGCCTTTTATTTCTTAATTCGCCCTGCTAATATTTCCATGAAGTTGACTTTTCCTTTTGATATGAGGTTCTGATAAACTATATTTCATAATTTTCACAGAACGGGCGGAGACACCTTACCTCATCAAGGAATGAAATATCAAGGGATCTTGTCGTGCATCGAAATTCTAAAAAGAAACAAGCACTATTGGTATTTTAATTTTCCTTTCCCTTCAAGGCCAGTGACTTTTTTCACACTAGTCTGAGCAAAGGATTTCAACTCTTCATTTAAGGGTGTTTAGATCCACAAACTAATTATGTCTGAAGTTCACTTAGAAAGTTAGAAGCAGAATCACTTTTGTGAATTGTGAGTGTTTGAATGGTACTCTAGAATAACTTCTATGGAGTACCTGGGATCACCAGACAAGCATGCCCTTACATGCTTCAATCGCTAGGGTTGATTCTGATTCTAATTTTCCTTGATGAGCAGTTATGTATTAGTGGTACTATTAGTGGGTGTTTGATTTCATTGTGGAAAAAGCTCAACATAATTTGACAGCTTATAAATTTCTAGGATATGCTTCCAATCTTAACAGAGCTCCGTCATGCCATAGACATGCAAGCCACCCTAGAAACTCTAGTGGACGAAGGGAACTTCTCTAAGGTACCACCTGTTTTGAGTTTTGACACAATCTGCTAACACTTTGATTCCACACACTCCTCTTCACCAACAACCTTACCCCAAAAGGATCTCGCAATAATCTTTTTCTCAGTGTATCATACTATTGCCATACTCCCACAAGAAATGTCTAAATGACTGACCAATGACCCATGGCTTTCAGGCATTCCAAGTACTATCTGAGTATTTGCAAATTCTGGACAGTTTGTCACAACTCTCAGCTGTACAAGAAATGAGCCATGGTGTTGAGGTAGAGTTTACACACATCAACTTTTTAAGGATGTGGACGTAAAGGAACATCTCTGCTGTAACTAGTTCTTTATGAAATCCCGTTCAGTTCCAGCTTTTTAATTAGATCTTGTGTGGGAACAAAAGCTCTGCTATCTTTATGGCATGTCTTTGTTTTGCCACTATTATGTCCTCATATTATTGTATGTTAATGAGCTTCTTGAATTGCAGGTTTGGTTGGGGAAGACACTTCAAAAGTTGGATGCTCTTTTATTAGGAGTATGCCAGGATTTCAAAGAGGAGAGCTATATAACTGTTAGTTAATCACCTTGCTACTTGGTTTTTTATCAAAATCATTACAAACTTTTATGTACATTGATAATTTGATGTTTCATCTAAAATTTCCTCATCTTGCAATCTCACCTGTTAAAATTAACCTTGAATTGCATTTTTGTTGCAAGTTGGTTATTCTGCGTGCTTGTTTTTATTTCTTACACTTCTCTACACCATATGATATGATAAATACTGTACGGATATGATTCTATAATCTTTCTGTGATGAAGTCGAAACATGCATTTGGAATCCAGTAAGTATGATAGCATGTGTTGTTTATCTTTAATTTTAATCAAAGATGATGCTCTTGCCTTCTTGGATAGAGCCCATGGTAATTACTGATAATATTATTGCATGGCTTTCTTATTCACGACCCATTCTCTATGATGAGGACATGAGGTGCTTTATATTTAAATATTTTGTGCGTAGAGAGTAGAGACATGCAATAATTAAAAAATGTGATATGTCATATCCATCTCTAAAAAATGTATTCCATATCATTTGCAGGTGGTTGATGCTTATGCTCTAATTGGGGATGTTTCTGGTCTTGCTGAAAAAATACAAAGTTTCTTCATGCAGGAGGTTCTCTCTGAAACACATATAGTTCTGAAGACTATTGTGCAAAAGGTATGTTTATTTACTTCCTTTTATTTTTCTGATAGGGGTTTCATAATTTCCTAAGCAGTAATGGGTGAGTACACAATCTTTGCTTTGATTGGACCGGTTATCTAACATGGATTAGATTACTTTTACTCTCTCCGGGCTATACTATTCTCAATGACAGTATATTTCGATTGGGTGACCTTTTTCACGACAGTTCAGTATGCTTCACCTGCATGATAACATCTAGTACTTATTGCAGGACTTCGAAAGTACTAATGAGCAAGGCGAAAGGTATAATCTTATTCCCATATCGTCTTTATAAGAAGCTGTTCTGGTTCATCTGTATCTGATTTGTGAGCGCTCCACATCCAGGCTCACATACAGTGATCTGTGCATTCAGATGCCCGAATCCAAATTTAGGCAGTGTTTGTTGGCAACCCTAGCTGTACTATTTAAGTTAATGTGTTCGTATCATGCAATCTTGAGCTTCCAGCCCGGGGATGAGGTATGCTTGATCTTTCTTGTGTGCCATTTTGTCCAGATTACTTCTCAATCCTTATGTATTTGGCCTTATTGGGAAAAAATGTGCTCAGTTACTGTCACTTACTGTAATGGGATGTTCTACGGAAATGGCCACATTCAATTAATTCAACATTTATAATTTCATTTTCAAAATCCCTTAAGTTAGAATTTGAAATAAAGATAATGCATTAAATACTTCTAAGATGTCACTACTTTGAATTTGTAGTCAATTAATCATTCTACTACATTAAGTATAATCTCTAATATCCAGTTATTTTAGCTACCAGTGTTTCTTTATGGATGGAGCATTTTTTAAGTGTTGCGATGTTGTAGCTAGCACTTAGCAAGGAATTGCGTGAAAGTATGATTACCTCTCATTATTTATGTTGTGATGTCCAGGTCCCCGCTTGCCAAACCCTTGCTATGCATGACAAGCAGGGTGATGGTTTGTTTCATGAACCAATAGGCAGGTCTCAAGTTTTATCCTCCACTGAAGAGACACCAGCAACTTGTGTATCTTTGACAGATAATACTGCTGCTTATAGTCCAGTTATGGATAATGGTGGAGAAGTAAGGGACGGTGGAAAGACAGCATCAAGCAGCGGATCCCCCTGGTTTCAGCTGCGTAAGGATGCCACGACCTTCGTTTCACAAACCTTACATAGAGGTCGGAGGAATCTCTGGCAGCTTACAACAAGCCGTGCCGCAGTGTTACTTTCGTCTCCTGTTGTGTGTTCTACCAGTATTCATCAGTTTATAACAATGTATGAAGATCTCAATCTTTTCATCTTGGCTGGGGAAGCTTTCTGTGGGAGTGAAGCCGTTGAGTTCAGGCAGAAAGTGAAATTTGTGTGTGAGAGTTATTTTGTTTCTTTTCATCGGCAAAACATATATGTAAGTTTGCTCTTAAAATTCCCTATCATCCTTCGCTGTGATGAACTGATGATGTATAATCCAAGAACTACTAAATGACTAACTGATTATCAACCATCTGCCCTAGCCCGATACGTGTGCACATATAATATGGACAACTTAGAACATTTGATGAGTATAAACCCCTTTCTGCATACTGCCTCCTCTGAACAGAGGAACAAATATAAGATATATGTAGGGTGCACGAACTCCTATGTCTATTGTGTATAGTCTGGCTCTTGGCCTCTTGTGTTTCGATAGCATTACAAAATGCCTATTAACGACACACCATGAATTTATGAACCTCTGGTGTGATCTGGAATCATGAATTTGCTATGCTTTGGAGATGCTCTTAGTGAATATACATAGAAATCTGTTGGAGTAATATATCTACAATTTTTGGAAAGCAGTAAGTCTAAACATAAAAAACTGTTGGTGTAATATGTCTACACTTTTTCGGGAAAGCAGTAAATCTAAACTCACCAGTTCGTGCATCCTCTATTAAAAAGTCTATTTTAAGAAAAACACACAATTTGAAGATCAGTGTGAATCTTATGTAGCAAGGTGTCGTAAATTGGTTATGTTTACAGCATTCAATGAATACATTATTTACAATTCGCTTCTTAGAAAGAATATTTTCGAAAGTTATAACTTTTTTTAGTGCTGAATTGCTTACTTGATTTTATCTTACCCACTCATGTTTAATGTTTGCGACCTATAACATGAAATGTACTATTTGGAGATCACTCGTTTTAGAAGTATTGGTGGTTATCATGGCTCAAGGGTGAATATATTTCCTCATTTTTACCTATTTTTTTTCTATCTCTTAGTAGTAAGGGTTAGGACACATAAACCAATTAAATTTCCTGTGAAATTCTCTTTAGTAGTGTTCAATGATACCGATAACTGTATGCTTACAATCATAGATTACTCATTTTGTTATGACTAGTATGTCCTTTCTGATGCTTGAAGCAATATCAGCATTGCAATTAACTGCATATTTTGTGCCTGCAAATGTGATACTTTAATTCCTGTGTACTCTCTTCATATATGTCACTGGACTGATGGAGGAATGGTTTTGAGTTTTTAGTCCTATCACGATAGATTATAATTACAATTTTGAAATTTCATCTTATTATTCCTATGTAAGAAAGTTGCAATATGAAGGTTGTCCGGCATAAATATCTTCCACTATGCTTTCTTGCAGATATCTGCAGTGTTCTCTATATGTAAATACATATTGTCACTACAAAGTTCATGCCACATGTGATGATGATGAATTTTATTGTTATATTTGCCATGAAAATGTGTTCCTCAATTACTGGATAAATAAAATGATCCATTCTTCCAGTGTGTGTATGTCATCGTGTCTATTTTGGTTTCAGTGAGAAGTGCACTTCTCATCCAAGCGTGTGATATTCTGTTTCAGTACACTGCTTTGTACTTTTCTTGCAAAGATTTGCGCTCTTCTGTTCTCTGTGAGGAGGCAGGAGGATCTGATTATTAAAAATACTCATTTTCTTAGATGCGCCATTAGATCTCTTGATTAGATGCACCTTACTCATTCTCGTATTTCACAGAACTATCATTCTCATTTGATCCCACACACACACTTCTTTGGTTCATAATTCAATCTCATTTATAGCATGGGCAATTAGTTCTGTGTTCTTAAACTATTCATTTTATGTACAGGCAATGAAATTGGTGTTGGAAAAGGAGAATTGGCTGCTATTGCCACCTGAAGTAACACAAGTAGTAAGTTTTGCAGGTCTCATTGGTGATGGGGCTGCCTTGATTGCTTTGACTAGAAACTCTCCCAGTAGTCGATTGGGGCATGCACACAAGTCAAAAGATCTTACCCTATCTGACGCTAAGAGTGGTTTTTCTAATTGGATGGAGAATGAAAACCCCTTTCTGATGAAATTGAACTGTAGTTCAAAGGAGTATATAGATTCTTGTTCTGCTGGATCACCATCTTCTAGAGAAGTTGGAAGCTCTAATGGGAGTTCATTCAATCCGAGTTCTAGTCGAGAAAATCTTGATGAGAATCAAGTGAATGGAAATGCTTCTCTATCAGAAGATGAAAATGACGATCTTCATGCTGATTTTATTGATGAAGATAGTCAACTTCCAAGCCGGATTTCCAAACCTAGTCGTTCACGACATCATTCATCACTCTCAAATGATGAAGAAATGACAGCACATACAGGATCATCTCTAACTCTACTAAGGCAAGATTTTTGGAATCATTTCCTAACCAAAGATATTCATAACTTTAAGCTGAATACAGTACACGTCTACATGACAGATTACTGGATAAATATGCGAGGCTAATGCAGAAGCTTGACTTTGTAAATGTTGAATTTTTCAAGGTTTGTCCATTTAAAAGTAGTGCGTAGTCAAGATATGTTTCTCTTTCGGGGATCAACTCTTAACAATCTCTGGTTTTATGTAAAAACTTTAACAGGGGATTTGCCAATTGTTCGGGATTTTTTTTAATTTTGTATTTGAGTGCTTTGTTAATCAGAGCTCTCTTCCAAGTGGAAAAGTCTCTACAGACATGCTTCCTTGTGAGTGCTTCTAATATCTATTCCTGTCTATCCATTAAAAACCAAAGACAATTCTGTATGGTCCTACGCCATGCTTTATATATTTATTAATTTACTTATTTATTATTTATTTATCAGATAGGTTAAAGGCGGCATTATCAAGAATAACACAGGATTGTGACAATTGGATGAAACCGCACTCTGCTCCATTTAATTTGTCTTCTCCCACAACTTCAAACACACCATTCACTCATATGGATGTCACTCCTACAAGCCCACCCACTTTGTTAGCTGGTACTTCTTTCAGTCTCAAGGTATTTTAATTTTACTAATGCTGCTCATCAACATAGCTATTTCTAAAATGTCACTCCTACAAGCCCAACAATTTTTTTCTTTATAAAAGATCTCACGTATTAGTGTATTACTAGTGATGCTGGTGCTGGCACTCTAGCCGCTCAATCTGCAATACTTGTACAACTCACTTTAGATCTTTTTGTATTCAATCAGTTCATCTCTGCTAGGGGGTTGGTAATAATATCTACAAAAAACGTATATGGATTGTGTTGATATCTCTCCGTGTTTTGATAACTATTATGTGTGCAGCAGTTATATTGAAGTGTCCACTCTGTTTTTTATGCATAATACATCTCAACACGATTGCAGGAAAGATGTGCAGGTGCTGACACTATATCTCTTGTTGCTCGATTGTTACATAGATCTAAAGCTCATCTGCAATCAATGCTTCTGAATAATAATTCAGCTACTGTTGAAGATTTCTATGTGCATTTGGTACGCTCACCCTGACTACAAAGTTATTCTAGTTGTATTTCTAGTTGCTTGACACAACTATATATGAGATTCCTGTAATATGTAGCTAAAAAGGAAGCTAAGCTACAAGAAGGGTAAAGATCACAGGAGTCTTGCTAATTTTTGGTTGTAGTATACCTGAATAACTAAAACAGTGAACTATGGGAAATGATTATTGAATACCTTATTTGTTTTCCATCTAATTTGTTGCATATTTATGTAACTTGAAATTCATTAAACATCATATCAACCAATTAATACCTCTTGGTGCTGTCCATAAAATGACCAATTGCAATTCCACGAAATAAAATTTTATGGAGGGATTGCTCTCGTTACTGCATATTGCATTTTGAGTGTTTCAAAGAGGAATTCATCCATTGGTTCTTTTCAGGTGGATGCTGTACCAGACCTTGTAGAACATATTCACAGAACAACCACAAGATTATTTCTCCACATAAATGGGTGAGATGTTGCTCGTTTTTCCTAGGCATAGATTAAGGGTATTATAACGTGTATAAGAAGTTCAAATGCAAAAGCATCAAAGGGACATAAGTGGGTGAGTAGCATTGATGGTCTCTTGGAAGTCTTGGACCTTAAATGATGGCCTTAGAACTTGGAAAGCGCATCATGAACTGTCTTGTCGTGTTAGAAGCTGAGTTGATCAATCATTTGAAGGACATAAGTACCCATTGTGGAAACCCTAGTAGTATTAGGCGCGTGAGATCGGCGGTGGCGCGTGAGATCGGCGGCGGCGCGTGAGATCGGCGGCGGCGTGTTGGTTGTGCGGGAGAAGACTTAGAAGAACTAGAACTATGCAAATTTAGATAACAACAGAAGTAGGATTTTTTTATTGATAATTCCACAAACTCCCCAAAACTTTTCTTGCTTCAAACTTGCATACTATTCTATTTTTCAACTTGCCTTAGATAGGCTTTACTAAGACTGGAAATGAAATAATGAAAGCAAAAAAGGAAATAAAGTAATTCAGATTGAAAGGAAAATCTGCTAATAATTGTTCAGATCTCCAAAGATTATCAAATCCCTTATACTATCGTATATACAAACTCCCCAAGATATCTGTTTTCCCATCATTTTCAATGGAGCCAAAGATTCACTATTTTTTGGATTGGGAATATGATGGGATAAAGCAAAATGGCTCACTAAACTGTGTGCGCTTCTTTGGAAGCAGCAGTCAGTCCATGCAATTTTCGACGCGACTTTCACCATGGGTCATCCGGAAACAGTCTTTTTGTGCTTTAGTACAGGGGTAAGGCTACCTACATCTGATCCCCCTTATCCCACCGTAGGTGGGAGCCTTTGCAGCACTGGGGTAATGATGATCTTTAAGATATGTGTGATTAGTCTATGTGATTTGCCGATTTCCGCCTTTCCTTCTTTTACGGTGTTACTCGTGCCCTATGAGCCCATCAATATTCTTAGTGCAGAATCTTCATATTGTACGCTATTATTGTTTTTTTCTATCATTACCACCATTGCTTTGCTTGAGTAGGAAGTGTGATTTATTTCCATTCAAATGTAGGAATTGCTTTAGACTTGGGTGTTTACAATAGTTTTGACTTTGAATGGTTCAGGTATGTTGATAAAATTGCAAATGCTAAATGGGAGTTGAAAGATCTTGGGTTAGAGCACAATGGGTATATTTCTATTGCCATAATTTATTTGTTCTTTCCAGATCCATCTATGAGAGAGCAGAAATAAGGTAAAGCAAGTGTCCAAGAGTGAGGGACTACAAAAGGGGAACAAAAGTGAAAAAAATAGTTTTAATCTGGAAACTGGAAATTTTAGAAAATATCTGTCATGATATAAGAAATGTTGCCAAGTCATATTCATAGTCTTTACAAAGATTGCTTCGTTAAATAATGAGATCCACCTTAATTTCTATATTCAAAATTATTCTTCACACTTGAAATATGAGTACAAATCTTCAATTCCACATTTAGTGTATCACTTGTCTGCCGCTCATTTTTATTGGTCAACAATCCCTATTAACTAAAAAGTTAGCGTGATTTCAGCCAATCAATATGAGTGATACACAGTGGTATACAAAAAGTGGTACATATGATTTCAAATCTTGAATTATTGAACTCTCTTCAAATCTCTCGTTCTAAACAAAGTTGCTCTTGTCTTGTATCATGAAAAGCTTCTTGCTTCCAATCGCCTTGCAGTAGTTAACCTCCAATTTCTTGTGCTAATAGATATGTTGATTTATTGTTGGGAGAGTTCAAACACTACAAAACTAGGCTTGTTACGGGAGGAATTCAAAAGGAGGTATTCTGTCTCTTCCAGCTTAACCTATCTTGGAACTGCCACTGAATCTATTATTAGATTCTTAAGAAATGTATTCTGTTATCAAGGGTAGTTTTTATTTGGACCCCCCTTCCACACACCTACAGATATCAGCTTTAGTATCTTGGTGGTTTATTTTGTATCCAGATCAAATTCTGTTTCAAACTATGCTTTTAGGATATGCTCATGTCATGTTATTATCTTCATTTATGATATGCTGATGAGACTTCATAACGTTTTGGCATAAGCAGGCTCAGGACCTCCTCTTAGAATATGGACTAGATAATGTGGCTGAAACTCTTGTTGAAGGACTATCAAGGGTGAGGAGATGCACGGATGAGGGTAGAGCTCTTATGTCTCTAGATCTGCAGGTTCGCTTCCCATTTACTGTGAAACAGGAAATGATAATCATCTCTAGAATGTGCTGTTTTTTCCAAAGTTATGAAAGTTCAATGGAGTTCTTTGGGTTACAGGTATTGATCAACGGCCTAAAGCATTTTGTTTCCATAGATGTGAGGCCAAAGCTACAGATAGTTGAAACTTATATCAAGGTGATAAACAAAATTCTTCCATCCTGGATTTGATTAATATTTTTTTTTAAGTGGAAAGGTTGAAGTCTTCTTCCTTAAGGTCTGTTCGGGTGATGGTTTGAAATGGAAGGCTTTGATGGTCTAATTCCACATCTTGATAACTAGAAGTTTCTGAAAACGAATAAAAGATGATTGAAATGCTAAACAATTACTGTACATATTATCTTACTCTTTAAATTTCTGTAAAATGTCAAATACATATATCAAAATATGGACTAAACCCTTGAAATTAGCCCTCCAGAAAAAGGAGACAGAAAATACTGTTTTACTAAAGGGGTCTCTTGTGAATGTATTCTTAGTTTATGTGTACTAGGATTCAAACTCCCGACCTCTCCAAACAGATGCCTCTTACTCTACATCATGATGGCTTGACATTTGATCATGTGTGTGTATTCAGTTGTCCCTGATTTGTTCCATCTTATCTCAATTACTGACTGGTGCATTGTTGTTTGGCATACAGGCATACTACCTTCCAGAAACCGAATTTGTGCATTGGTCACGTGCACATCCAGTACGTTGGGGGTGATCTATATAAGATCCACATAAGATTTATTCAACTCGTTTGTATGATGAGTACGTAATGGTTGTTTTTCGGTGTGTTTTGTTGTGCAGGAATACAGTAAAGGTCAAGTGGTGAGTCTTGTCAACCTTGTTGCCACAATGAAAGGTTGGAAAAGAAAAACCAGGTTTGAAGTGTTGGAAAAGATTGAATGAGCCGCCACCCACTCCATACCCTGAACATAATGTGGATTATCAGTTTTGCAATAGTATTATTTTTTCTTTGAAAAGCTTTGTATAATTTCTGTAAATTGTTCTTGTTCAGATCTTGCTAGGACGATCAAAGTATAAGGTGACTTTACCCTTCGCTTGTATTATAATACCTCCTCCCTAGAAAAAGGCCTTTCTTAAGTCCAATCTTCAACCACAAACGTACACTGATGTAGTCTACACTGATGTAGTCATGTTGAGCTGTGAGACTGGTGTAATATATTCTTACCACTCAATAATTCAATATGTTATTATCCAATCTCTACAAACAACTCAATAACAATGGACAGAGGAAAAAAAGAACTCATGTAATTAGAATCAAGCAATTTCATGAGATGCGATTTGTATTTTCAAAAGCAAGAACAATTTGTTTGTATACTAAAGAGAAATATGTCAAATAGGTTTCTCTTTTAATGGGGTTACAAGACTAGGCCCAAAGCTTAATCAGTTCAGGTCCCTGGATTGGACACACGAGTTCAAGCTCACAATTAACAATTTAGACTAGTAGGCCCAAGCACAAGTTCATTAATCATTATCTCATCGGAATAGCTTGATCAGTAGGCTCAATGATCAAAGAGCAGTCCAATCGAAAAGGTCTGGCAAGGAATGAAGTCTAACAAGGCGGAAGTTCAAGACGGCCAATTCGCTAGATTGGATCGCCTACTTGTCTAGTCGGGAGCCTTTCTACCAACCTAGTCAGGAGTAGTCATGGATTGGGCCCGGTCCGGTTCCGGTTCGGGCCTAGGCCTGGAGGTGTTGGAGTATAGATCGGAACCGGCCCGGTAGGCTACCCGTTACTGGTTCCGGGCCGGTCCCGGTTAATTTTTTTTTGTTTTATTATTTATTTCAACCCCTACCCCTCATCCCCCACCCCCCAAACCCCTCGGAATCACCCAGCCCAGCCCATCTAAACCCAGCCCAAACCCAAAAAAAAAGAGGCCTGGACCGGGCCTGAACCGGCCGGGCCGGTTCACCTTTTCCTTGCACCGGAACCGCCTCGCCTTAGCTCCTCGGGCTGGGCCTGGTCCTGGAACCGAAATCGGTTTCCCGGTCCGGGCTGGTCCCGCACAGTAGTAGGCTGGTCTGGTTCGCGGGCCGGTCGAACCAGACCGGGTCCATGCCTTGTCAGGAGCCCGTCAGTCCAATCTAAAGTCTGCCTATTATTAGCCCAGTCGGGAGCTTGCCTACTAACCAAGCCAAGAGCTTGCCATCTAGCTCAATCAGGAGCATGCCTACTAGCTCGGGCGAAACCTTGCACACTGTCTTGGATGGAAGCCTGCCTATCGACCCAAATGGGAGCTTGTCTACCGGCTCGAACGGTGCCTGCCTATCGACCCAACTGGAAGTCTTCCTATTGGCTCAAACGGGAGCCTGCCTACCAGGTTGAAAGGGAGCCAACCTACTAGTCCAGCAGAGAGCTGCTTACCAGCCCGATGAGGAAGTAGCTCAAGCGTCCAACCTACTAGCTCGGAAGAGCAGTAGTCGGGATAGTCAATGCGTTGATTAGTGCTGCAGTTAATGTCATACTAATGTTGTAATTAATTAGCCATTATTGGTGTTTGTTGTTAACTTTTGTAAATGCCTATAAAAGGCAAGTGTAAATCAAATGATAGACATTATTTTCGGGAACTAAGTTCCCTAGTAACTTTTCATTTTCATATTTTTTATTTCTTACTGAGTGTTCTGTCATAATTTTCTTCAAAAGTCTATAAGCGTCCATTTGGGACAAACAACTATATTCAAAAAGTTAATTTAGTCTTTATACTACCCGATTATCCAATCAAACAATGGCGGAGTAAGAAATGATAGGTTTGGGGGGTGGGGGGTTAAAGAGTTTTTTTTGGCGGTGCCAAAACTTAAAATTTCACTATATTTGTTATTGCCTATAAATATTTACATACATGTATATACATCACTTTTTTTTTCTTGGGGAGTCCGAGCCCCCCTCCAGCCTCCCCCTGTCTCTACTCCTGTAATCAAACCTCTCAACTATAAACAAACAGTCAACATAATGAGTGTTTGCGATTGCTTTTACTTGAAAAAGTGATTTTTCAAAGTGATTTTTGAGAGTGCGTAAAGTAAAAATTGGCAGTGTTTGAGAAAAAAGTGATTCTGAAAAAGTAAAAGTTGGTAGTGTTTGATACAGTAAGTGCTTTTGTGTAAAGAAAAATGAAAAGCAGTTTAAACTTTAAAGCATCCTTCAACCTCCTTCCAGCTTTTGGCTTTTAAGAGATTAATTTAAGCAGAATCTATCACTTGAAAACACTAATTTCAACTTTTCTTAAGCCAAAAGTTGAAAAACATTTTCTTTTTTAAATTTCTTGCAATCACTCCCTTATATTTTTTGCTCGTAATTGCTGAACCGGTCACCCACATGACATTAATATTTTTCTTTCCTTTATTTCTTTTTTCTTGGAAAAATTGTCAAATACATTATTGTATGTAAAAAATTCAATTAATAAGTCAAATCTAAAAATTCAATTACTAAGTCAAATCCACAAATTTTAGAAAAATACTCATATGTAAGAAAAGGCGTCAAATAAGCACCATACTATATTATGAAAAAATCAATTAAGGTCTCCAATGCAAAATTATCCAGTTACATCCCCCCCACACATAAAATTTTCAAATCAACCGTTTAGCTGGTTACCTCTTGATTCCTAGTTAACTCACGTAATTAGGCCTGTCAGTGGGTCGGGTTTGGGCCGGAACGTAGTGTTCCAGAACCAGACCCGCAAAGTTAACAAAGGACCTAGATACGACCTGTTTACCCGTTGGGTCTAATATTTGGACCCGGACCCGGACCCAACAGGTCTTGCTTCTCGGAACCGGGTCAGGTAGACCCGCCAAAAATGATATGCACACCATTATAAATTTTGTAAAAATAACAAGACCTGTAAATGGAATGTTAATCAAAGTGCACAAACTTAAAAGAAAAATTCACTTTTCAAAAAATCAATGTTTCTCATAGAAAATTAGTACTTTTAAGTTATACGAAGTATCCAATAAATTATCAGTTCTTGTAGAGGCGTATAACTCCACACTTTGTATCACTTTCTCTCATAAAGAAAGCTTGTAGAATAAATTAGAAATCAAGTCACAAAAAGGTCTCTTGAACTACTAAAATTATAAAAGCATATTATATATGATAATGATATGATAATGATATAATAAAATTAATAATAATAAGTATTGTGTTTTGCCTACCGAGTACAATACACACTTTATCCTTAGCTTGGACATCCTCAAAGGCTCTGCATAGGTATTTGGTCAATTCTCGGTACCACTCCGAGTCTTCTAGCATTCCTCTTCTGAATGCCTCCACGGCCGTCGGGATGTCGCATCTAGGGATGGACACCTTCTCCTTGTTGAAGCGATGTAGGTAATCTCGTAGGGATTCATTTCGCCTCCGGACCACCCGATAAAGATCACTTGTCTGCTTCTCCAGAGTTTGACTGCCTGTGAATTGCTGATTGAACAAGTTGACCAGTTCGGCGAATGAGTTGATGCCTTCATTTGGTAAGTTGACAAACCATGTTAGCGCTGGTCCTGTCAATGTTGTTCCAAAGGCCCTACATATGCAGGCTTCCCGCTGATCTGGCCTGACCGAGATGGCCAACATGCGCTGTTTGTATTGAGCGACATGTTCCACTGGGTCTGACGTTCCGTCGAATAGCCTCATTGAAGGTGCGGCAAACTTCCTTGGAATTTCTACATCTGTGATATGTCGTCCAAACGGGGAGTCATCATAGCATGTTTCTGAGGTAACATCTAGCGGTGGCGGGACTCCAGGGATGCCGTTGACTTTCTCCCGCATCTTTCTCATCTCCTCCATGAGTACGACCAAAGAGTTTGCCAAGTAAGTCTGCATTTGCGGAACTGCTCCTTCAGGTGGTGTCGGCATTTGGGCTGTTTCTCGCCCGGCTGACGATGGTATGTCGATGATCTCCGGTCGAGAACCGGAACCGGAACCGGAGATCATCGACGATGGTATATATAAGTGTACAAACAATTTTTTTCAAATAATATATATAATATTTTTTTCAAGAAATGAAGAAAAATAAGTAGAGAAATAATATCAACAATTTTTCTTGTACACACTTTCTTATACACACTTTCTTATCTCTATGAGTTCGATTCACAGACAAAACATGTCTAAGAGAATGTGTACAAACAATTTTTTTCAAATAATATATATAATATCTCGGGATCTTTCAACTTGTTTCATGTAAGTAAGAATCCTCATTTTGAAGTGTCGAAGGGGACTGTATGATTTCACCAATCATGTTTAGCGACACGCACGGCTGATCTACCGCAACCTGCAAAGTCAATACATAGTTAATGACAAAAGGGTAAATGCAACGTCTTCGAATTCTTATCCAATCTGATATATTTAAATCTAGTCTTGTCCAATAAAAGTTTGATATATGTTAGTCCGGTCTGCTATACTTAAATCTTGTCTAGTCAGAATGTTTTTAATTGGGATGTTTTTACTTGGACTGAAATTTTCTGGTCTGGGCTGGTCTGATTTGAACTGGTCTGATCTGATTTGGTCTGGTTGTGTGGCCCCTGTGTAGTTTTTTTTGAAAGGAAACTGATTATATTATATCAATCAAACGACTCAACATACTTCCCCCCTTACAATCAACTCAAGCTTCCTCAATCAAGCATCTAAAATTACTACCCCACGAGTAACGCCAAACCTCCTCATGAGGCTCCGCATAGCCAAAAGGCCCTCCCACTCTCTGGCTAGACATAGAATAGACCACCCCGAAAGGAGCGAGACTATTCGCAAACCATGTGAGAGCTTCGAAGCTTTTAACGGCCAAACAAGCCTTGTCGCTTCCACCCACAATAACGTCCTGAGCAAAACATGAAAAACAAAACACCAGCCTACCTCTAGAGTTCATAATGAAAATAAAAGCAACATGAACAAAAGAAATGGAAAAAATGTAGAAATAACTAAAGTCTTCAAGCATCTTCTTTCAATCCCTAAATCCACAATTCTTCTGTGGCGGTGGTTTAGGTGGGGGACGAAACATCATCACTCCTTGCTCTTCCTTCCACACTTGTATCGGGAATTCTCCATTCCAACTCATCCGTCTATCCATGGCTAGGTCATCTTCCGCTCGTGTTCCTCTGGGATCAAACACTGTCGGTACCACTTCCATCTCAGACACTAATAGAACCAAAATTGCCAAAACAAACATAGAGGAATCAAACCTCAACATGGTTGTTTCGTTGAATTCCACAAATAGCATCCCTTTCCGCGTTCACGCTCAATCACCCGTCTCCAAAACCAGGCCGATAGACCCAATTACCT